TATGCTTTCTCCCCTGCAAAATGGCGTCTGGAGTCATGCGCATGAGTCCAGTGTTGCATGTGCACGACTTCAGGCGCCATTTTGGAAGCCAAAATGATGTCCGGCGTTGCATGCGCACTACTCGGGTGCCATTTTGTCTTTCAAAATGGCGTGTGCAGGTGCGCGTGACGCTGCACACATACACACATGCATGTGCATGGCTCCGGACACTATTTTGGAAGCCAAAATGGTGTCCGGCGTTGCGCGTGCATGCACACGACTTCAGAAGCCATTTTGGAAGACAAAATGCCATCCAGAGTAGCGTGCATGCGTGTGTGCATGCGTGCTCATCTGCCTCCCCCCCGGAAGATCTGGGAGCCAGCGAACTGGCCCCTGGATCAAAAAGTCTGGGGACCCCTGATCTAAATCAAGGGAAGTAATAGTGCCACTCTATACTGCTTTGATCAGGCCCTACCTGGAATATTGTGTCCAGTTCTGGGCACCACAATTCAAAAAGGATGTTGAAAAATGAGTGTGTCCAGAGGAGGGAGGGCGACTAAAATGGTGAAAGGTCTGGAAACCATAAAGCCCTATGAGGAATGACTTAGGGAGCTGGATATGCTTAGCCTGGAGAGGGGACGGTTAAGAGGTGATATGATAGCCTTGTTTAAATATCGCTCATAATTAGGGATGCTGATCAACCCTCTTTGCAGGCTGAATCTACACTGCAGAATTAATGCAGTTTGACATGGCTTTAAATGCCATGGCTCCATGCTATGGAATTGTGAATTTGGTAGTTTTGTGGGATATGTAGCCTTCTCTGTCAGAGAGCTCTGGTGCTACTCCAAACTACAAATCTCAGGATTCCATAGCATGGAGCCATAATAGTTACAAGTGATGTTAAACTACATCAGTTCTGCAGTGTAGATGCAGCCCTAGTCAATCCCAGCTGTTCAGGAGGGCAGATCTGTGTGTGTGTGTGTTTGTGGGTGTTGTTACTCTCACATCCTTCTTGTGAGCTTCCTTTTGGGGGGAACGTGGTGTAGTGGTTTGAGTGTTGGACTACGACTCTGGAGACCAGGGTTGGAGTCCTTGCTTGGCCATGAAACCCACTGGGTCAACCTTGGACAAGTCACACTCTCTCACCCTCAGAGGACGGCAATGGCAAACCTCCTCTGAACAAATCTTGCCAAGAAAACCCCGTGATAGATTCGCTATATGCCACAAATGACTTGAAGGCACACAACAACAAACAACATCAAGAAGGAACAACCAGATCTTTCACCCTGTTCTGGCCTTTCTGATACGGAGCCCCATCGCAGACAGGGTGACCAGATGCCCTCACCACAAAGGAGGACAAGGCACCCCCAAATGTAGGGACTTTATCACGCGGCGAAAAAAGACGGGACCATACCGCTATGCTCCCATCAATATAGCGCAATAATGGGATGATTTTCACTTGATGTCGTCGTTATCGCGCAATTATCCTGTGAATAAAGTGGCAAAATTGTGCAGCTTTTTATTAACAGAATCCCAGGTCTAAGAGCACCAGCAGGGTCACGCTATCCCTGTTGATGCTCAAACGAATGGCGTCAGTCAAGGCAACCATGGCAGCCTCAACCCCAAATCCTGACCTAAAGCCAGTTTGAAATGGATCTAGATCAGGGGTAGGCAACCCAAGGCCCGGGGGCTGGATGCGGCCCCCCGAGGCCTTTGGACCGGCCCCAGGCTGGTCCTGCCGCCGCTGCCGCTGCCGCCCCCCACCATGATGATATTGATTATTGTTGTTATTACTTGTTCTTGGGGTTTTCTTGGCAAAATCTCCACAAGGGTTTTGCCATGGCTTTTCTGGGGCTGAGAGAGTGTGCTAATGTCGGGGATGCTTTGATTGGGAGTTCCTGCATGGCAGGGGTTGGACTGGATGGCCCCTGTGGTCTCTTCCAACTCTATGATTCTATGGTTCTATGCAGGCATATTTTTTATTTTTAAAATTTATTTTTATTTGTTTATTTATTTATTTATATTTGGTGCTTCGGCCCCCCCAATTGTCTGAGGGACAGCAACCCGGCTTCCGGCTCCAAAAGGTTGCCTACCCCTGATCTAGATAATCGGTTTCTTCCAAGGCAGCTTGGAGTTGAGGAGCAAGCGCCCTCTCCATCACTTTGCTTAAAAAAGGTAATAAATAATTATTCATATCCAGGGAGGGTTTTTTCAGGAGCGATCTGATCGCCACTTCCTTTAAACAGGAAGGGATAAAAACCCTCCCTGAGGGATGCGTTGATCATGTCCTTAAGGAAGATCCTCAACGCGTCGCCCCCCCGGACAGCCAGCCATGTTGGGCAAGGATCGAGAGGGGGCAGGTACTTTTCCTCACTCTACCGAGGAGCTCGTCCACATCATTGGTACTCACAGATTGAAACTGATCCAGTAAAATTTCGTTAACAGAGTCGCTGGACACCTCGTCTATCGATTCTGTATCAATACTGGCATCTAAGTCAGCTCTTATCTTTGCAGAGATTTTATCTGCAAAGAAGTTGTTCAACGCGTCACAGCAGGCTGTTCTTGGGTTAAGCAACGGGTTCTGCGCAGGCGGACCCTGCGTCAGCTCCCTTATCACCCTAAACAGCTCTGCTGGACGGGACTCTGCGGACGCGACATGTGCAGAGCAGAAAGATCTCTGCGCTGCACGTATTGCCTCTCGATAGGAATCGAGGAAATTCCTATGGCAAGATAAGAGTCAAGGCATGTTTTGTGATATAACTTCTTACTATGATTAAATGAATGAAGAGCCATTTTCTAATTTGCAAAACATACTTTCGGACACTTTTCAAGAAGAGAATCGACCCCATGAATTTCATTGGGTTTTCTTATGCAAGGATTCCTTAGATAGTTTTGCCAGTTCTTTCCTCTGAAATGCAGCCTCCAGCGTATGTACAGAGCCAATGTGGTATAGTGGTTTCAGGATTGGGCGATGCCTCTGGAAACCAGGGTTCGAATCTCCATTCAGCCATGACCTAGTGCAAGTCACACTCTCTCAGCCTCAGAGGAAGGCAATGGCAAAACTCCTCTGAACAAATCTCATGAACCTCATGGCCCTTAGGGTCACCATAGGTTGGAAATGACTTGAAGGCACATACCACCACATCCGAGACTCATTGGCAGCCTCTCATCCAAGTACTAACCAGGGCTGGTCCTGCTTAGCGTCCAAGATCAAAAGGGATCTGGGGTATATTTGGGCATGGGGACCTTTCACGGTTGTACAGAAAGGGGAATTTGAGCCACTGTTCCTTGTCATTGGGATGCAGGACAAGCAACTCCTGCTAAAATGCCCTCTTCAACACAACATTTCAAGGTAGATGAGCCTGCCCTAGTTTTCAGTCTGGCCGCTTGAACAAGGAACATACAACTCCTTTGTTGCAACAGCTCTACTGCTTTGGGTTCATTTCCAGACACAATTCAAAGTGCAGGTGATGACTTAATGATGATGATGATAATAATAATAATAATTTATTTATAGCCTGCCCCTTTGAGGTCAACCTGGATATGGCGCAGGTCCAGGTTATTTGAAAGAATCAACTTTTTATGAATCAGCCTGCGATTTGAGATCTTCTGGGGAGGACCAGCACGGTTTGAGCATTGCACTGCAACCCTGGAAACCAGGGTTTTACCCCCTGCCCAGCCTCAGAAAACCCTATGATAGGATCGCCTTAGTGTCATCATTAAATCAGAAATGAGTTGCAGGCACACAACAACAGAAGGGCCTTCTTTGTCTCACCGCCTTCACAGGTACATCTGGTGGTAATATGGAAGAGGGTCTTCTCAGTGGCTGCCCCAAGGCTCTGGGACTCTCTTCCTGGAGAAGTTAGACCTGCGTCTTCCCTACTTTCTTTTTGCAGTCAAGACTTTGTCTCTTTCAACAGGCATTTGATGAGTGACCACACGATGCCCGTCTCACCTAAACAATGAATTTGCAAAACATACTTTCGGACACTTTTCAGGTGTCCTGCTCATTATTCTGTTGGGGTGTGTGTGTGTGTGAAGATACATGTTTTCATCTGATTTTACATTTTTTATCTGAAGGGCAGTATTCTTCCATAGGAGCCTATTTGTGTTTTGAGGGCTGCCATTAGAATCATAGAGCTGCAAGAGACCTCCTCCTTTTTGTTTAAACCAGGGTTTCTTTGGGGTTTTTTTTGGGGGGGGGATTAATGTTTTTATGAATAAAATTGAATCCTGCCTATTATATTAATATTGTGAAATATGTATTTTAAATGTGAGAGGAATCTAGGAGTCCTAGTAGACCACAACTTGAACATGAGTCAACAATGTGATGTGGCAGCTACAAAAACCCAATGCAATTCTAGGCTGCATCAATAGAATCATAGAGTTGGAAGAGACCACAAGGGCCATCCAGTCCAACCCCATTCTGCCATGCAGGAAATCACAATCAAAGCATTCCCGACAGATGGCCATCCAGCCTCTGCTTAAAGACCTCCAAAGAAGGAGATTCCACCAGACTCTTAAGGGAGTGTATTCCACTGTTGAACAGCTCTTATTGTCAGGAAATTCTTCCTAGTGTTGAGCTGAAATCTCTTTTCCTGTAGCTTCAATCTGTTGTTCCAGGTCCTATTCCCTGGAGCAGCAGAAAACAAGCTCGTCCCATCCCCAATATGACACCCCTTCAAATATTCAAACATGGCTATCATATAATAATAATAATACTGTTGGAACAGATCCCAAGGGCCATCCAGTCTAGCCCCCTGCCATGCAGGAATACACAATCATAGAATCATAAAGTTGGAAGAGAC